CTTGCCTGAGGGTGTCAATGATGGTATTCTGGACAGCAGTCAGGTCGGCAGTCTTACCCATGATTGCGGTTTTGAATAATGAACCAGGCTGGGAGTGTTTAAAAGCCTCAGGAGTCTTTTGCAGTGTTAAGAGTTAATTAGTTGATTCAGATGATTAGGTTAATAGCTCGTTTAGAAAACCTTTTCATGATATGCAAATTTTTTGATAGGAAGTTTGGATTTTCATGAGCCGTATGCCAAACTCATCAATATCAGAAACAATAAAAGTCTTGAACTACTTCAGTTGTGTGTAATGAATCTAATATATATGAAAGTCTAATGTTTATCTGTACATTACAGAAAATAATGAACTTCATCACAATATGTTAATTTTTTGAGAAGGACCTATATGTATATATATATATATATATATATATATATATATATATATATATATATATATATATATATATATATATCTATATATATATATATATATAGATATATATATATGATTGAGCCAGAAACTTCCATGATTATCTAAAAACATTTCAGATATCACCCTGACAGCTATAATTAGCTGACTTACATTTAAACTGGACATTTGCCCCTAAAGTAGCTGCTGCCGGCTCCTGATCCCCCATCCTTTTGAAAATACCACGCTGCATTCTGGGAAGTTTCTGACTGAGAGAATGCAACAAGACACCTCACATGTATCCTTGGTCAGTTAGCTAAATGGCAGACAAACGAAGGACAGATGCCTCATTTATCATGATGGTATTTTAATGTATTGCTTTCTTACAACGGTGCAAACAAGAGACAACAGACATTAGTTAGAGGGCTGTCAGAAGCTTGTTGGTGGAGAAAAATATTTAACCAAATATATTTAAGTGGGGATGTATGTTTTTTATTTATGTTTATTATTTTGACCCCGTCTGAAAAAATAAAAAAGTACAAACTTGTGAATTCAATGTTTTGTTTTTAAACATGACAGAATTATTCTGTTTTGTTATTATTCAAGTCGGAAAAAGAACATTTCAATTTGGTCGTTAAAAGCCCTAAATGATGGATATCAGGCAACAAGATAAACAAATCCAACTCTTACATGTATTCTCAATATGAAGCCTATTAGATTCCTTACAGAAAAATGATTTGTTGTAATCATGAGCACTTTTAGGATATCAGCACAAATAAATGAAGAGCTGGTAGTATATGTGTGTGTTTCTCTGGCACAGACTGATCAGGATTAATTAAAATGATCTGTCTGCTTTTAAAAAACTCTCCACCACACGGCCGTACTACCAGCTCTAGCATTTCAGGAGGGCTGACACAACAAAGAGGAATGCGATGAAGACATATTAGAACAATGCACAGTAAATAAAATGCAATACCTCTGATGAGATGGCAAACCGGCCACCTGTTCAATGGTATCCATTTGTAAAAGCTGTCGCAATCAACGGGCCCTAAAAGTGTACAGTTAGTGCGTTGGTCAGTATGCATTTCAAAGAGAGAAAAGTGAGTATCATATCAACTTTTGATGTCTTTAAACAGCTAGCATGAATGTTTCAGATGGATTGTGTGGAGCAGCGGAGCAGGAGGCTTCGGCCGTCTTCTGTCATCCTGATGAGAAATCCTCCAACTGGAGGAAAAGTGATTTTAACGGTAAAGATATTAAAAAGTTTTAGTTGTACTAAATAAAGTAAATGACTCATAAAGTATTTAATTATTAAATTAGCAGAAGTTTCATCTCTGTGCTTCTTTAACAGTGGAGAGTCCAGGTTATGATGCTCACAATCCCCATTCATGCTAACGTAAACAACTGATTGAATCTGAGAACAGGCAGAGAGTAAACAGCGCTCAGTTCTCATGAGATCAGCTATCAGGAACACACACAAAAAGCATTTTCAGCAGTTGTCTTTATCACCTCCATCTACTAATTGTGCTCTAATTGTCTTGCATAAAAAGAAAAACAAAACAAACCACGTTAAGATCATTGCTGCTGTTTTCCGACCGGCTAAAGAGGTTAATACAATCAGTGGAGCGTGAGACAAAAGGGACAAACGAGTGAGTCTGAACTCATCCATGAGGATGTGACATATAAAGATTATCTGCACGTTGGGCTGAACAGCATCCTGGGTAAAGGAGAGGAATTATAAAGCACATTTTAGTTCTGAATCATTTCCTATTTTAATGTTCTGAATAGAGAGATCATCTGGCTGAGAGCAGGAAGTCAGACGGCGGCTGCTTCACCTCTCTGCTTTACTGCTCTCTCTTTTCTTCCCTTTTTTGACTCACTCTGCAATTCTGAAGTGGTGATTTAATATGTGGTAATATCACAGACACAAGCTGACACTCTGTAATGGAATCCCAAATCCTGGCTTGAACTACACGGCTGTAATTTAGCAAATTTCTGACTGATCCACTACATAAATGAGCCATCTTTCAATGTTTTATGGTAAAAAAGCCCCCCCCCCCCCCCCCATTTATCAAACTCTGCTGTGTTCTGTGGTTACAAACTGCTGCAAAAAAACAAAACAAAAAAAAAAACAATAGGAAAAAATGGCTTAGCATCCATCTATATGCTATTTGCTGGTAATTCTGCCTTGAAAAAGAGCCAGCGTGGTTTTCATGACAAATATTTATTTAGCTTTCCACACTGAGCCCAACAGATTATGGCACACAGCCAATGGGGCTAAAACAATTAATGATGGAGGATTTGCTTAGAAAGCAGAAAAAGACAACAATGAGGTATTTTTTGTTTTTGCATGCATATCATAAATCAATTATGCAGCTTGCATAAATTAAAATGACCACTTTTCACCCTCTGGTGACTCGTTTTCACCAAACGACACCGTCCACTAAAAACGATGCACGAAACGTCCCCAAATGTCCTAAAGCACAATCTAAGGCAGATACAGGAAGAAGTAAATGTTAGTTTTGGAGGAAATCTAAGGTAATGATGTGCATTAATTACCTTTTCGTGGGTTTCAACACAGCAGCACAAACGTGCTCTCCTCACCCGAGACTTAGAACGAAGTGCTTAATTACGTGACTAATTATTTAGCGAGGTCAGAGCTGAACCAACTGTAAGACTTTGTGGACAACACGGTGTTTAATGTTTCCTGTTCAGGCCTCGCAGCAGAAGACTTTCAGCAGCAGACGAGCTGAAACACGAGGAAACGGTAAGCATCTGCCCAGAGCTCAGAGGACGTGATGCATCCATCTCAGTGTGGAAAAAGCTGCTGGAGGAGGGTTTGTATTCATATTATTACCAGCTGCATGTGTGGAAAGCATCATACAGGTCAGCAGAAACGAGCAGGAAGCAGCAACTTTAGGGAGAAACAAAACCTGCTTGCAGGTTTCGCCTCAGTGATGCTGGGTCTGCAGCCGCTACCGGGGATCTTAGCACATTTAAACCCTATTTTAACAACATATCAAATTATGCATAATATGTTTTTTAAAGCTGAATGCTCATTTATAATTTGATGCAACATATCTGGAAACCAAAACAACTCAATGTGTTGCATCAGCTCTTCCTTTAAAAACTCTGTAAGAACCTGATTAGAGTTAGTCGCAGACATGCACACGGACAAGCGAGCACATTTATCACAGCTCAAACTATCCTCCTGATGATGCTGAGGAAAAGCCTGAGCAGCACAGCCAAATCTGCTTTGTGCAAACAGAGTGTCAGAAAGACCCTATTAGTACTTTTGTGCACCAGTAATGGTCCCTGCATAAGCGTTTAGGGACGTAGGTAACCAATTACTTGTGCCGCAGGAAATTTAGATGTTTTTCTGTTTTTGCCTGACACATTTTCAGCCACTCAACATTTTTAGGTCTCCTGTAATTTATTTCTCTTTCATACGTTTTCAAATGTATGCAATACTTGACAGATCTGGACTGCAGGCAGATCAGTTCTGTCGTTATGAAGATCTGCAGCTGCAGAGATACGTTTTAAAGAAAATGTGTGAACGGTACCTAAAACTTCACGAACCTAAATAGCTTACTGTATTTCATTTTTATTTTTAGCACTAAATCAAGTAGAACTACAAAGAAAATCACTGCTGGTGACAAACACAAAGCTTCAGGTGGCAAATAAAACTATACTAAATTGTAATAAATTAAGGTACTTTGTGACAAATCTGCACCTGTACTTGTTTCTGTATGAATATCGTTAAAAAGGTGAACAGTTTTTGCAGTTTTGAGACGCGCTGCATTGTTAAAGGGAACATAATATGCAAAAATCACCTTTTGAATAATTTTATGCTTCCATGTGGGTCTCTACTGCCTCTATGAACACTCCAAATGTGGAAAAAAAACCTATCCGTTTTCAGTCAGTGTTTGTTTTTAGGAACAGTGTGCCAAAAACAAGCTGTTTAAAAAAGTTCCAGTTTGTGATGGCACAAATGGGGAAATGAGCTTAGGGCCACCTTTCACATGGAAGAGGGAGCTGCTGCCAGAAGATCCTGGATATTGGAGCTTCTCAGCCTCTAGCAGCCTGAGTGTGGTGGGTGGGCGTGGCCCACCTGTTATTTTATTAACAAGACAAAGCCCTGAAATTAGTTATTCTGGAAGGTACTGAAAATGTCAAGAATAAAACTGCTGACACTGCTTTATGTGAGCATGATTTAGTGCTAAGAACGTGATGTTACATGTTTGGTACTGACTATAGAACTATTATAACTTAAGAAAAAAAGTCATAATGTGTCCTCTTTAAAACTCCCCATTTATCATAATTCTGCGTCTCCAACTAGCAGATACGATCTTTTGTTTGTTTGACATTTTGAAACTCAAAAATCATTTATTTTTATAATTTATGTTGTCTTGTTTACTAATTAATACAGAGCTCAAATAACTAGTAACCCAATACATGCGTAAATATTATCTTCTTTGACACAACGGCCCACCCAGCCCTTTAATAGCAACCAGAGTCAGACATGGAGTCTGTCAACAACCCAGTGGTAAGTATTTCATAATCCTCGAACTAACTTGTAATGTTGGTATTGTGATGTCAGACTCACCGTGATGCTGGGACCAAACCCAGAGCCGGGCTGAGGACTAGCAGTGCTGATGTAGTTGCCTACAGCTGACTCCTGGTTGCTGGGCCCATACAGGTCAGCCACAGGTCCGGGACTGTTGGTACCAGGGAAGCCTCCGGGCCTGGAAGGGTTGGCGCCTGCACACAAACACACCAAGGAGCAATGCAGCAATGGAAGACCTATCAGAGACTGGTGACATGCTAATTTGCTCACTCAGGTGGAGAACACGACTGGATTCATACATTCATCACAAAGGAAATGCTTACAGCTGAAGTTTAGAGGCACTGAAATTGAGAAAGTGAATCCAATTTGAACTAAGATCTACTCTAAATAATGCAGGATTTAAACGTTTTACAGTTTATAACTAAAGCTGAATCCAGTACGGTATTCTAGGTAGAATCTACATGCTGTGTGTTTTGGGCACAGGGTAACATTCACTTTGTGTTTTCATGCACAAAACAAAGCAAGCACATAGTTTACCATACTTCCACCATGCCGATAAACTACCAGGTTGCCGAGTTTCCATGCATAATGTGAGGGAGTACTTCTAAAATGATATTTTTTATCAAATAGAAAGATTTTGAACTTCACCGGAGCGCTTTGAACCCAAACGTGTGCAAGTTCTACGACCTGATTAGAAGATACAAACAGGAGTCATCTAAATATTGTCTGTGCCTGTGGTCTGCTGAAGCAGCTTCCAGCAAAAAGCGAAAGAGAAGCTTGTCAGGCAGAAGAAGGAGGAATCAACCAGCAACATAAAAGCCTGACCCGGGGTTCGCTAGTAGGTCCCAACTCAGCGAGAGATAAAAGAGATATACTGTACACGACTTACCACCTTTGCCCTGTGAGTAAGAGCAACTCAGACCAATAAAATGTCTTTTGGAAAGCCATATGCCCACTAAAGGCCAAAAACACCGGCGATACGGGGAGGAAACAGGCAGGGAGGAAGAAAAACGTGCTGATCTCTTTAACAGCAATCTCCTTTGCTGTCAGCTTCACATAACCCTCCGCCTCACCCTTATTCACACACAGACTGAGGAAAAGGGGGGAAAAAAGCTAAAGCTGCACGGCTGCGTTGAAAAGAAAAATCTTCCGAGCTACGAAAGCGCTCGATTTTGTGTGTATGGGCTGGTGAACCCTGCGATGCCTGAGAGGAGGTCTTTGTAAGACACATTAAAAACAACATGGAGTGACTGCAGTGCATACGATGTGTTTACGTACACACACACACACACACACACACACACACACACACACACACACACACACACACACCCGAGCTGTCACCTCTTTTAATGTGTCACCGCTCTATCTATCAAAGCTATATTAGACAAGTTAACTCCATTTAAAGGCACTTCAAACACACTTTAGATATCCATTTATAGCACTCGAGGAAAATGAAGAAATCTCCCTAAACACACATCTGGAAGAGTCGACGCTGCTGTTTGACTATAAGAACTTTAAACAGCGAGCAGCTAGCGCTCTTATCTCGCCCGTGCAGCCCCCAGAGGGATGGCTTATTATATAATTAAGGATTTTTACAGTTGAAATGGCAATTCCTATTATCTGTAACTAGTGATTTTTACTGGAGTATAGCACCCTCCTATTTCTTCATGTGAAACCATTTTTTCCCTTTTAATTTAAAACCAGGAGCCTCGCTGGTTGTGGATTTAGCTCTGGGAGCTAAAACCAGGAGAAGTGTGTTGTTGTTCACACTGTGGAACATATTTATGTGTTAGTGTTCTTTATTGCCGACGGTGGCACAGGAGTTAAGTGCTCGCCCCGTAATTGGAATGTTGCCGGTTCGAGCCCCGCTCAGTCTGTCGCTGGTGGTGCACGGCAGCCTCGCCTCTGTCAGTGTGCTCTTAGGCAGCTGTGGCTACATCGTAGCTCATCCCCACCAGCGTGTGAATGTGCGAGTGAATGACTCTTCCAGGACTCTTGAAGGCGCTATCAAATACAGGCAGTTTACCATTTATTTGATCAAGATCTGTTTTTTTGTTGTAGTCTAGAAAGAGTTTGAAGGTTAACAAAAGATCAACGAGAGGGTCATTCTGTCCAAAGAAAGACGTCGGTCAAGAAGGGAATATGGTAATATACATAATATGGCATAGATTAATTACATGTGACAATTAAAAAAAAGGTCATCAATCAACTCTGTGTGTGTAGCAAAAGGAAGATGCAGCAGTAGATTTGTGAGCCTTTTTTTATTTATAAAGCTGAATATTATTAAATTAATTCTAAGTTAGGGTAGACAATCACCAAACACAAAGAAATTAGTTGTTTTAAAAAAACATTTAGTTGCAACTTATTTTAACAATAGTTGTCAATATGTGAAAAATACTAATAAAGAATCTTATTGTAGGTAAAGTAACCTGTGGTGTACCACAAAGGTCGGTATTGGGAAGCCATTTATTTGTATTTTACATACTTTTTATTTATGGTGAATTTAAAAGGCTCAGGTTTATTGCTTTTTGGGATGACTACAAATATTTTTTCAATTAAATTCTGTTTATTTAAATAGCGCCAATTCATGACAAGAGTGATCTCCAGGCACCGTACAAAGTAAACATTCTAATTCAACCTACTTACAACCTACTCATTGGCTTCAGTTACTTAATCCAATTAGTTAACAGTTTCATACCTAAGAAAAATCCACAGATTACATTGGGTCATTAACTAGTGTCAGTGACTTTACAGCAATTCTCATACTAAGCAAGCATGCAGCGACAGTGGAGAGGAAAACGCCCTTTTAACAGGAAGAAAACTCCACCAGAACCTGTTTCAGGAGAAGCACACATCTGTCATGACCCAGTGGGGGTTTCACAAGACAGAGCAGACACACAAAAATATAAACATTCAAACTAGCATCTTTTATGTTAAAGTAAAAAGTCCATAGCAGGAGAGGGAGAACGGTCAGTAGTTTGTATCAAGTCATCAATAACTGGCGACAGAGCTTTTTCAGGGGCTGACCCTCTGGAACAGTCTGAGATCTTCTCAGAGCATGGAGAGTTTTAAGTATAAACGTATTGATTTGACTTGGCTATTAATAATGGTTGATTTATGCATCTATTCTTTTTATCTAGTTTACTGTGATTTTATTGTTTGATCTTGTAGTTATTGTTTTATTCTCAATTAGCAATTTTATTGTTTACTCTCATCTTTTTACTCATGGTTTTATTTATATTTTTGTTTTATTCGCCATAATTTTAATGTGTCTTATTTGGGCAGGCTTTATTTCATGGCAATGATTTGTTCAGCACTTTGGGTCACACACACACACACGCACGCACGCACGCACGCACACACACACACACATTATTTTTTATTGTATAATATAAAACGCAGTGTTGTTTTAGGATCAAAGTAAGTAATTGGCTTAATAAAAGGAAATTGTGCACTACAATCGGGTGCTTAGAAAATAAGTGTTAAAATCCTAAAAGGGCCGAGGATAATAGGGAGAGAGAGGGAGGGGCGTAAATAAAGCGTAGCCTTTTTTGGTAAACAATTATGAGTTTATTAAGTGAAATAGTTTTGTACATTTGTGGATTAAAATAATTTTTTGTTATTTTTCTGTGTTTTCAGATTTGGTCTGAACATATCGTGATGATTGATGGAATATCGGCCATCAGCTTCCCTAAAGATGAACATCGTTCTCCTGTATGTTTTCACCTATATTTACCTAAAGTAACTCACATACTATGTCACTGATCGTACACATCAGGATCAATCCAAACCAGGGCAATATGTGTCATCATTCCAGTTCTAGAGTTCAAAACAACTAAAAGAGAAGCAGCTAAAACGACAGTGACTCACTGGCTCAGCAGGTTGCACAATTGTTTCTAAGAATAAAAACATATTGCTGAATTTTGGCAGAGCTTATTCTTTACTTTCCAAGTGAAAATATGAAGAAAACAGAGCATAAGACAGAGACAAAAAGCAACCTGTGCATCATTTATCCACTAAAATCCACATCAGGTCTCCAAAATACAAAATAAAATCAATTATCCATAAAATCACCTCTATTTACTTTAATCTACTTGAAACGTTCAAATAAATGGCATCATTGTTTCTGATTTTGATATAATTAGTGTCAAGGTTGGCTGCAAATAGAAATTCCATTGCACAAACAACACGCACCTAAATCAGGTTACAATGCAATCAAGCTCTGCTGACTCACTCAGGATTTGAACGTGTCCTCTCAGGCGAGACGAGCCTGTGCTTTATCAACCGAGCAGTACCTCAAGAGCATTTCAGGAACAACGCGTGCATCATCCGCGTCCGACACAGCCACTCCCGGTAGAAGGGGAGACTTCCAAAACAAGAGCCTCTCTGCTGCGACGACAGCAGTGAAAACACGGTGAACTAACACCTTACAACAAATTCGCACAATCAGAAGAGACAAGAACATTATTTGGCATTTGTCGTGATGTAAGGAAATTGTTTCCTCTCTGTCATACAACTGTGCATCCAGCAGGATGAAGAGAGTGTGCTGCCTCATTAGCGCTAAAGCAAAGCGACTGCTAGAAACTTATCCAAACATCTAGGTCATTATCCTTGCATTAGGCTTGTCTGTGGATATTCTGCTGGTAGTTTTGTTAAATTTAAGTCCTGTAAAAATGCCGACAAGTGCTGTGTGCCAACACTTCAATCACGAGGGCGAGAGCTGGCCTGCACTTTCACTCGCCTCACCATCCAAAAGGTCAATACTCTATTTAAAAAGGATTTTTCACAGGAATTATTAGGAAAGATAAGCTGCAAAGATGTCGTTTCTAAAGGAAGGAAACGTTCTAAATGTGTAAATAAATACTCTCTTATCTATGGTTCACAGCTTCCGGAACAGCCTCAGTTTAGAGAAACGCCGTTTTTATTTGACAAGCTAATGCAATGTACTAACCTGGTCTTTCAAGGCCACAATCCTTCATGTTTTAGAGATTTCTCAGCTCCGACATTCCTGATTAGAATCAATAATTAATTAACAGGCTCCTGCAAAATCAGAGGACCTGCAGAGCAGGTAATCCAAAATGTTATTGGAGGGCAACAATTAAAAAAATGCTAATTCAGAGGATTGCTGCCATCCTAAAACAACTCAAACTTCCAAAAAATTGTAATAAATCATGCAAATTGTATTTTATAACCCTTTAAAGATGTGGTTTACTTGTTTAATCAATACATTTGCAGTAGTCTCTAGTAGGAATGAATGCCTTCTAAGTTGTACTCTGGGGGGAAACGCTCAGATGCGTACAAGTCAGCTGGAGAAGATAGTAGCTTTAGACCAGAAGCTACTATCTATTAGAGAGCATAACAGAGTCACCGCCATCTTGGATGGATGTCCTCACTCTCCAAAGTCAATGCAGAATGAACATCTGTCTGGTTTATGTGCAGCCTACGATTGCAACAATGGGTGTACTATTGAAAACAGATCACGTGGCACAACTATTGACTTTTTGTGCCTACCTGATGGGATTGAATATATTTAAGTATTTTGTTTAATTATATTTATCTTGTAATTATAATGCCATAGCATAGGTCTGAAAAAAGCTTGATAAAATGTGCTTTTCAGTTGGGTAAGTACCTTCCTCAGTAGAAATTAATGCACTGGGGGCGAATGGAGACCCAACTAAGATGGCGGCCAGCCACTACGGCGGCTCCAGTAAGCAGCACCAGTCCACGGGATTTCTACGTATTTATGCCTGTGCTTCAAATGCCACAATCTGAAGTCTTACTTCCTGATATTTGCACATCTCGTCTCTGACTGGATAGCAGCAACGCAACTCTACCACTGCATCTTTTTTCTTCATGCAGCATGGACTTTTTATCTCCACAAATAACACAGGCCTGAAAGAGTTCTGCCAAGTGGTGGAGTTGCTAATGCTAACAGTTAGCTTCTACTAGCTGAGACGTTCTCTGCTGCTTCCTGGACACTAATCCAACAACAGTTGTGTGACATAGATCTGTAAGCCTTTTCTAATCCTAGAGTTTCTATCAGAAGCTAATGCAGGAGATAGGTGTATAGACTATAATAATCAGAAATAATCATAAAAAATGGTTTTTCAGTGTTCCACACCTTTAAACTGCATTCAAATGTGCATTACATGGACATTTCTACCAGAAATATTCATAAATTACTGAATATTTTGTTGTAAAAGTCCTTGAAAATTAGTCGTTATTACACAACTGGTTGTAAAATACCTTTCACATGAACTAAGAAATCTAGAGATGTTTTAAAAAGGCAGCAATACTCAGTGGACTCTTTTTCTCCAAACAGAGTCTGTTCAGCAAACAGAAAAACAGTTTTAAAGTCAGAAATCTCCAGTCAGCACTTTCTGATGCAATAAAAACATTCCACTAAAACAGACGTTTCTCTTTGCTTTCAGCATCAGAAGAGGACAACGCTGTCGCTTCATCAAGAAGATCAACATGAGCTCCTCATCAAAACAGCATTTTATTTTATTTCAAATCATTTAGCTAACAATGACTGCTAGACCCAGAATAAATTCATAATAATCCCATTATGTTCTGTGCTATTTCCCTTCTGCTTTTCACTGCTACCGTTACACAAAAAGAGAAAATGAAGGAAAGCACAAAAGATAAAAGGAGTGGTACACCAATGGCTGTTATGTAAAAATGCTCTCTATTAACAACAATCATGCCCACAAGTTCAATACTTAAAGGGTTCAGCTGAAAAATGGCCCTCACTCCCACCCTTACTTGTTTTCTGTCGCTGTAAAAAAAAAAAACACCCCATAAACCTGTTAGTGGTTTGAGAGGCCAGCGTACTCTCTGACATCATCATTAATCGTTGTCTTCACATGCAAAAGGAGGATTACATTCTCTCTGTGTGTGTGTGTGTGTGTGTGTGTGTGTGTGTGTGTGTGTGTGTGTGTTGACCCCTTATAGAGCAAGCAGGGGCAGGAAAATAACTCTAAAAAGAAACAGCATTTAAAAAAAAGGAGGAACATGCAATGCTATTTTGTCAGCAAGATCTTTTTATCTCATATGTTTAAGGGGATAGATAAATATATAACTTATTGTCTTAAGGAAATAAAAAGTTGTTTCTTAATAAAGAAAAGATTTAATCGTCTGCATGGATCAATGTCATGAATCAAAACTGAAAAGTCCAAAAAGTGGATGAGATAGATGCTCAGATACAAACCTGGGTTCTTAAACTGATCCGGGCTGTGTAGGTGCTGGAGGGGGGAGTTGCAGGCGGAGGTGGCATGCTCACTGTGCAGCATCTGAGCCGCTTGGGGCCCCAGGGAGCCATAGTCAGCAAAGGAGCAGGGCCCCCCCCTCTGGTCACTGGGCGCAGAGTAAAACCCATAATCGGGGAGGCCTGGGAGATACAGTATAGGGTGGGGAGGGGGAGGGGAGGGGACTCCATCATTGTGGAAATCAACTTTTTGTCAACGTCAAAGTCAAGTGTCCAGATTATACCTTTTGGTTGTGTCTGCTTTAATTGGACCTCCCTGCCCTCCCTCCCCAGCAGCTCCTACCATATGTCCAGATACCCCCCCCCCCCCCCCCCCCTGTGTTGGATGACACATAAATCCTTTCCACAAAAGATGCAATTAGTTTAAACCCTTCATCCCTTGCCTCTTTTCAAATGGACCAATAACATTAAAAAGGAAATAAACAGGTTGGATATTTTGGCATTCACATAATTGGCCTGTCCTAAAGCAGTGATAAAGGACTGAGATACAACTGAAGAATCATTTAAAACAAACAAACAACAACAGGTCAATACATTTCTCATTTTCAAACGGTCAATTCCTGGGTGACGTACCTGAAGGACGGAAAACACATGGCACTAATCAATAATCAATCCGCAGCCTCCTTTCAGCCCAGTAAAAACTGATAAGGCTTTTATGTGAACGAGATCCAGAGATGTTCATGTTTATTGATGATAAGCGGTCTGAAGTGCTCTAAGTACTCGGAGCGCGTCTCAAATTGGCCCCTTTGAACGGTTCTGCCTTTGACACAGATGGCGGATTATCAACAGTTTAGAAAATGTCTTCGTGCAATAAGTTGTTCCGACGTTTATGGCTTGTTCTCTTAATCTGAGACAAGCTGCTCATATAAAGAGTGCAATTAAAAAACTGCTCCTTTCTCACACCTCTTTGATAACAAGAGTTAATCTGGGACTGCTGACGCCGGCTTCTCCGTGCTGGGTTTCCCTCTGCTGCTTGTTTCTCTCCGTCTGCGGTTTTAGTGGTTTTTATTTTTATTATTTGGGTTCTGGAGCAAATAGCCATTCAAAAGCACTTCACCTTTACCCATCCAGAGTGAGACAGTCCACTTCTGCCAAATGAAATGTAAGCACCAGCCATGTTTCTATCCGCCAATGCTTTTTAGCACTCTGATCTCACCACTTGTGGGCTGTCTGCCCACTCATCAAATTATAGGCTCCAAATAGGGCAGGCTTCCCACGTACGTCACATAATGCCTGACACATTGAACAAAGCTCAAGAAGCAATCATTCCATTTACTTCACTTAGACAAATGTCACCGAAAATTGATTGGCCTTGCTAATGAGTAAAACTGGATCAATGGAATAATTACAATGGGGAAGAAACGTCTGACAATAGCACAAACCCAGTTATTGGGAATTCATAAGGAAGGTGCTCCATTTATATCACACATTTAAATTATTGGATCTAAGCAGGCAATGCTTTACCTCTGACAAAAATGCACTTTTAATGTGTTTCACTGAGACGTGGCTGCAGGAAGCAGGCTTCATGATGCACCGCTCCACTTTTTATCATCAACAAGGGTTAAATTGTAAGTATATAAGACCAACAAAGTATAATAAAATGGATTATTCCATTTTGAGTGGCAATTGTTTTAGCAAGTGGTGTCCAAACTTTTCAAATTAAAAGTACTTGAGCCACAAAAATATGACTTTTAAAATAAAAAAGCAAAATTAAATTTTTTTACCAGCTCAATTATGCATTACATACACAATATTTCAATGAAATGAACATTGTAGAGTTTTTATCTGAAGTAAAGAATCAGTAAATGTATGTAGAAGTGAGACATAAAACTTGATTTTATTGTTTAACTGTTTTCTCGTTTCTTTGGTATATTAAAGTGACACTAAGCCATTTTTACCCATTTAACCAATTCCCCTAAATGTGGGGTTCAGTGATTGTGTTAGTAGAAACTTTACCAACTTCACATGGAACAGCCCTTTGCTGACCAACAGTTTTCAGGAGTGGATAGGTGCTCTAGGGGGCGCTCTTTACCTGTTTTTACAGCTGTTAGCTATTTTCTGTGCTGAAGCTAATATAAAGGCTAACAGTTAGCCTTTTCAGTTCACCGACTGTCAATTAAAAACAAGAATTAGAAAAAAGAACAAGGTTTGCTTTTTTTTTTTTGCATCATGGTGGAACCTGGAAGTAAAAGTCAGAGAGTAATGTCTTTGGAGGTAAAGCAAAGAGCAATGTGAGGGAGCCAAAGGAGGCCATGAAATCACAGACTGATGGTGGCCTGGTTTGTTTCTACTGGGCTACTGGAGAAATTACAACAGAACCACCTCTCATGTGCAAGAGAGAGCTGCAGCTGGAGGAGTGGCTCTACTCTGAGCCCCTCTTGGATATCGGAGCTTCTCAGCTTATAGCAGCCTGAGGAAAAGGCAGGTGGGTGTGACCAGCTCCAGTATGTTATTTTTACATGACACAGTCCTGAAATGGCTCATTCTGGAAGGTACTGAAAAGGTCCAGAACAAAACTGCTGAGATTGCTTCATGTGAGAGGGATTTTGTGCTAAGTACTTCATCAACATAGTTTTAAATACCATAAGACTATCAAACATTTTGAGTAGGTGAAGATTTTAGAACTCAAATGTGTTGAGTTAGTTCAATAGTGTCCTTGTACTAGAACTCAAACTTTTTAATCAATCTGAGCAATTAATTTTGTTAGTAAGTACAACTTAACTAAATAAAAAACAAATTAACTTGAATGAGTAATAATAATAAAAATTCTGAAATTATTATTTATTATTTTTTATATTATTCTTTACCTGTATGAAAAACAACCACAAACAAGCAAATTTGGTGGATTTCAGAAATGAAGAACTGGTGGATGAGGTGCATTGTGGGTAGTCATGTTTTTAGTTATTCTGTTCCATTTTGGGGTGTTAATGCATGTTTATTGTGGGGGGTTCTTAGCTATTACTTCAGTCAGTGTTGCAAACGTGGCGGTACTTGTTCTATTATGTTGGCAACATAAGTGAGGAGGTCGGTCGAAGGAATGACTAGGCTGTTCCGTTCTGTTTTTAAAATTGTGGTGGTTCACACCAGATGATCTGGACTTAACTTTGGGTTTTCCCACTCTCACTGGCTGTCAGTAGCTATGGGTTTGTTAGGTATGCAGGGATGGTGTAAGCTTCCACCTTCACCTGCCTGCCACATTGTCATTTTTAATTAAATTAATCTCTAACAGTGTAGGGTGGTTAACATTTTTAAGTATTTTATACCTAATTTAGATTAGTGCTATAAACTAAAAATGTCCAGCATTCTGGTGAGTGGGCCACCCTTCACACCCAGAGACTCCATCACTGGCTTGTCTTTGTCTGTCTACAAGACAATTCAGAGCAAGACACCTCTCTATCCGTCCTCTCTTCTTCACCTCGCCCAAAATAAATATCACACTAGGTCTAGTGAATACATTAAGCTTATAGTTCCCAAAACCTCTAAAAAACTACCTTTGGCTGCAAATCCGCTGTGCAGAAGCCTTTGATTGGAATACTTTACAAAACACCCTGAAACCTGCAACTTTGACATCTATTACTACCTTTAAATCTACACTTTATCACTTTTGTAACTGACTGCTTCTCCTGTTGATCACCAGGATCACACTTATTTATAGACATACATTAACACACACATTCACTTGACTTTACAATGTAATGGCTTCTCTGCATGCATGCGAATATGTACCCACATTTCTCAATTCCAGACTCAGAATTTTTTAAAGCCTGCCTACTATTCTATTTATTGTAATTTTTTAGTTCTTGTATGTTTTAAATTTGTTTTGCTTAAATGTGTTCATGTCTGTTGCTGTTCTCTTGCACTGTTTTCCGAGGCTCTCTGCCAGCTTGTGTTTGTAAATGAGAAGTTGTTGTCAAAAATTTTACCAGGTTAAACAAAGAAAGAAAAAAAGAAGCAGAGAACACACAAAAATATATGTACTTTAAAAATATACATTCATCTTTCTTAAAAATATGAATCTACAGCAACTAAGTAGTGTTATTTCAACAATTTCATTAACTCAAATTTTTTGATGTAATCAGTTTCACCAAAAATGTTGAGTTATATCAATTTATTGAGTTTTACAGTGTGATATTTCTCCTTTGAAGTAATTTTTTTTCTGCGGTGACTGTGCTCTATTTACAACTGAATATAATGAATAAAAATGTGGTGAATAACAAACACTTAAAACGATTCTTTTTATTTATTTATGTATTTATTTTTGACAGGCCTCACATTACCGAATATCTCAAATAAATAGAATTGAAACTTAAGCTGGGGGACAACTGAAATTGCATTAATAACACCTCAGACCACCAGAACCCTCACAACACAGGAGAACTTTGATGTGGATGACTGAGCTTTAGAGCCTCTGTCAAAGCTTTAACATGAATCATGGAGAAGTCCACAGCACGGGTTCAAAACACTTCTGATTTATAAAGTTCTCTCCATGTTTGATCTTCTCGCAGAGCATGCCACACCCCTCCTGGCTAACATTTTACACACTGTGTGCTTGGCATATGAGAAGTGGCAAAGCTAACGATGCTGAACACAACAACAAGCCAAATATGGACAAATGGTTACAACATTAAGCGTTGTGAAAGTGCTGTGGCGAGGACGAAAACATGAGCAGAGAGACTGCAGGAGACAGCAGATGATGTAATCTGGGACACGACTGGACTCTGGGCTGCTGGTCGTGACTTCCCCGTGTTACCTGAGTGTGTTGTTGTCAGCTCAGCTGTTTCCAGGCAACAAACACGACACTCAAAAGCATTCATGCCGATTTCTCCCAGATTCTGTCTTTAAACCTTCAACCTTCTCCGTATTTATTAACAGATTTTGATAATCTGTTTTAAATCTGTAATTTGTTTAATGTAATTATGTGGTTTTTTAACAGGATAAAATGGATTTGTATTAAACTGACAAAAATAAAAAGTCATATTATGATGAAATACAGGAGGTTTGAGTTAAGTATTGTTTTATTTACAGGATTAATGTCTATTATTTACCTCCAGAATAATGAGTATTTTATTTGTGGTAATAATTTTAGTTTAACAACAGCAACAGGATGCTTAAAACAGTTCATA